CTGCAGCTAATTTTTGAATGAGGGCCCGTTCACACCAGTTGCAGGGCATTCCGGCCCCATTCTGTCTGGAACGCACTGCCTCGCATTGCGGCCGGCTCACTTTTTAGTGGGGCAGGAGGGGGCGTGGCTGCCCATTTAAGTGAATGGCACTATAGCCATGCCTTCAGGCCGCAATACGATCGCCTGCACGGGATCGCAAGGCACATTGTGCCTCCGGTCCGGTGCGCTCAAAATAATGCTTGCAGCATTTTGATTGCACCGAACCGCAGGCACAATGTGCCTTGCGATCCCGTGCGTTCTGGCCATAATCGGGCCGGAACGCACTGCAACTGGTGTGAACGGGCCCTTAGGGTGATTGTGCTTTTATTTGAAATTAACACACTTGCCATGACCAATAATAACTGCTCCCAATATTTGTAAAGTAGTCTCCACAGTTTACTCTTCAAAATGAGAGAGGTCTCCATGTTTAAATTCAAATTGGTCCGCTTATATAGATCCCTGTGTGGCGATCCTTGGAGAGTGTCACTTCTCTAAATTTGTTACAATTCTTTTTGTGATATCTGTTCTTGTATTCTAGATTTGTGAAAAGGCCGCATAGGCTGATCATTTTTGTTACTTTACATATATTTCATTTATACTTCTTACAAGGGTAAATATAATAGATTGTATACCTCCTAGTGGGATTTAGAATGTACTTTTTATCATACAAAGGTCTGTGAGACAGACTCATACCCATATACATTTGATGGCAGTATTTCGATCAGGGCGGCACAGGTGCTTGATGGTACTGTATTTAGATCAGCTAAAAACAGGAAGGATGTTCTCAGACCTTTTTTTTGTTAAAGGAGAACTATGAGGTGAGTTCTTTTCACTCACCTCATAGTTCTAGCCGACCTGTGACAATGAGACTGTCACAGGTCGGCTCAGTAGATCGGGAGGTGAGCGAACACATACCGGGTTCGCTCGCCTCTCGATCCTGTCACAGCTCTCTGCTGTGACAGGGGGAGGGGCTGGATTCCCCTCTCCCCGCTCCGATCTGCCAGCGCTGACTGGCGGCACGGACGGGGGAGGGGGCGGGTACAGCTGGCTCTGCCTCTAGATAGGCAGAGCCAGCTGTCACTCACGCAGCTGGGCGGATCCCGTCATCTAAGTTGGGATCCGCTCTGGCTGCGGCGTCTCAGTATACCGCGAGCTGTAGCTCGCGGTATACTGAGCTTAAGGTAACGGGAGGACGCTTGTTTGTGTCCTCCCGTTACCCTAGGGAGAACTATGGGGAAAAACACTGACCCCATAGTTCTCCTTTTTAAAGTCACCATACTGGAATATTTATCTTGTTAACTAGATGAAACCATAACAAGATATAAGATCAGCCTTACATTAGGGACCCATGTGTATTTGTTATCTTGAGGCATGTGGCTGCCTCTGCTACTGTCCAGTGCAATTAACCTCCAAATTCTGGAAACATGGTAGAATAGCATTCAACAAGAGATGACATTCTTGTTGTGATGTATATCAGCTCCCTAACACCTGCCAAAGCTCCCGGGAAGCAAGGAGAAGTGTCTCTAAGGCCTTGTTCACACCAAGCGCGGAGCAGGTGCAGAGCAGTTACAGACCGGAGCAAAACTGCGTCCAATGTATTCCAATGGTATTTTTAGCTCCAGTTCACATCGCAGCGTTCAGTTCCAGAGCAGGTTAAAAAAAACTGCAGCAGGCCCTATTTTACCTGCTCTGAAATGCATGCAAACGCATCAAAAACACACTGAAAGCCCATTTTAAACTAAGGAAAAAAAATCTTTTTTTTTAGCCAAAAACAGCCCTGAATGCATCAAAAGCGCGGCCCAAACAACTGCACTGCGTGTGCAGAAACCTGAGCAGATCTGCTCAGCATTTGGTGTGAACAAGGCCTTAATGGCCATAATTTGCAGAGCCATTTGTCTACTTCTGTTCTAAAAAGCACCAACCGAGGG